TGTTTTTAATTCAGATACTTCTACCAGTGTTCAGTTTATGGACAGTTCCAGGACTATGTCTGGTCTTGGAGTAATGAGCTGGCTTTTATAAAATATACAGAGTGCAATAATCATAACCTGTATTACCATAGACATTTTGGAAAGCTCTCCAAGTATCATACTACCATATTTACACAAATTCAAGATTGTGTTGAATTTAAGAGAACCCTCCAATATTTAGATTCTAGACATGGAAAATGTATAAATTTGTTCTAAGTTTCCCATATCTAGAATCTAATTTTTGGAGGGTTGTCTTAAATTCAACCTCCCCTCACAACTGCTATAGCAAGGCAAACAGCAGCAGGGGGCAGGGGAGTCAAGTGGCCTGTGCCCTGCCACAACTCCCTGCCGACTTCTGCCTCCCCTCCACTGGTGCCTGTATGCTCTGTACTCGCCCTCGTGGTGCTGGTACCCTCTTCCCACCTGTTCTCCCCCTGCCCCAGGGCCTATCCCCTTGCCACTTGGTGCCTCTCCTGTCTGCCCCCCTGTGCCTTTGAGCCCTGATGCTTGCCCCTCCCCACAGCACCTGCATCTTGAGCACAGGTCCACTTACCCTGCCCCCCACCTCCCTTTTAATGCCTGCCCCCGCTCTCAGAGGCAGGTGGAGGTGGGAGAAGAGGACAGCAACTAAGGCTCCAACTCCACACCCTGATTCAGGGTCAGAGCTGTTGATTCTCCCTGATGGTACTCAAATCTAAGACAAGCATCTTTCCCCTCCATGTTGAATGTTTTAGATTTGAGTAAATATGGTATCTGCAAATCTATTTTCCCTCTTGATCAAAATCTACATGTATTTTTCACATGAAGTCATATCCCATAGGCCTTACTCAGGCCTATTCCTGCATAGGGCAGGAATGGATACCTCTGTTCTGTTCAGGTTTTAAAACAGACCAATTACTGTAGTACTAAGTACCTACAAGACATAAGCACAGGAAAAAAAACCCAACAAACGAGGTGTGAGCTCTGATCAGAGTTATATTCAGTCAGAAGAATAAATTCATGGTGGGATAAAAGCCTCCAGTAATTAAAAAAAAAAAAATACTTTGAGCAAGACTTAAGTAGCACTGTGTGTCTACAGAACACCAGATGCTGGCTACAGGGGCAGACAGCTAATGAAAGTGTCACTTATTCAGAAAACTACAACTGGTAAATTTTAATTAATGAATAAGAACCATTTTAAATCTTTCTTTGTAAAACACAGTTCGAGAATTGGTGAATGGGTGGCTATTCCCCTCAAATCTGTAAGCAGAAATTCATGAAAAATAGGACTGAAAGAAAGATTAGGAGAAGGGGGTTTCACTTAGGCTAGGGACAGACATACAGCTTGCGGGAGCCTGAAATGACTGAACCAATTTGCAAGTGAATAGACATTCACTTTTGATTTTAGAAATGCAGCCACATGCCTGAAGTGGCTCAGGCTAGAAGCCGGGGAGCGCTAGAGCGGCCCTCTCTTCCCTTTGGCAGCAGCCACTTTCCCCCTGCTCCTGCTCAGGCAGTGGGGGGCCTGGCTAGAGATGGCCAGCATGGACCTGCTATCTGCCCAGGGCTGGGGCTGTGAGGCTGAGGTGAGCTGGCCTGTGGGTGCTGCTGAGGGCAGAGGTGGAGGGGCAAGCCTATGCTCTGCTGTGGGGGCTGAGCCCTACTCAGCGGGCTGTAGCTTGGGCTAAAGCAATGGGGACTGTGGCCAGACTGCTCCCAGCTCCCCATGCCAGGCTGGGTGGGGCTGTCATGGAACTGCAGCTGTCTGGGAACTGCCTTCCCAGCAGTTACGGCTCTGTGATAGCCCTGCCCAGTTGCATGGATGGGGCTGGCCAGGTAGCAGGCTGCCCAGGTGGCTTGGAGGTGCTGGCAGGCCCCAAGCCCGGCAGCCACCCACCGCTGCTACACTCCTTGCCCTGTGCAGCACCCAGCAGCAGCAGCAGCCACATCACAAGCAGCAGGCTGGCTGGGGCTGGGCGGGATGTTCTGCCCCCCTCACCTCCAGCTATCGCTGCCATAGCCACTGCTGCAGCTGCTCCTGCTTTGCCACTCTAGGTGGTGGGTGGGAAGCTTCATCCCAGCGGCTTCTGCCCAGGGCATAGAGCTCTGGATTGGGCTCTGGCTGCTTTCCACCAGCTGTGCCCACCTGCAGGTGCTGCTCATTGCACCAGGCAGGTGGAGCGGGTGGAAGGCAGCCAAGAGCTGGAGCCGCTGGAGGTGAGAGGAAGCTAGCTTGGTCTGGCAGGGCTGTTCTGCTCCCTCAACTCCAACTGCGGCTACTACTTTTGCCATCCCATGAAGCAGGGCTCCGGGGGGGAGAAGCTTCAGCCCCCATTTCCAGCCTGACGACTCCGGGTGGGAGAAGCTTCAGCCCCCATTTCCAGCCTGTGAACGGAGCTCTGGATACAGCTGCAGCTGCTTTCCATCCCCTCCACCCACCCAGTGTTATAAGCAGCTCCTGCGGGTGGGCATAGTGAGTGGAAGGCATCTGGAGCTGGAGCTCCATGCCCTGGGCACAAGTCACTGGGATGAAGCTTCCCACCAGCCCATCTAGTGAAGCATGGCGCAGCAGGGGCAGGAGCAGAGGTAGCAGCAGCAACCGCCGTGGAGGGACAGCTGGAGGCAATGGGGGCAGAACAGCATACAACATAAAAGCCAGCTCATTACTCAAAGACCAGACATAGTCCTGGAACTGTTGGGAAGCATGTGGACCTGATAAGGTATAAGAGAAGAATACCATCAGACACCTCACTGTAGCCCCTGACATTATATACAGATTGCATAAAGCCACTTGTACTAATGAAATGAGACACTCTGCACAAGCCAATTCAACAGGTTGATTTGTGTGGTCAGTAACTTGGATGAAGGGAATTAATCTCTAATTTTACTTGCCAATTCTTGTTCATATCTGGAATTAATTCCCTTTGTTTTTGCCCTTAAAGTAAAAATATTTGGTTTCCCCTTAAGAAGCTCAAAATGTGAAGGGTAAGGAATTACATCAAGATGAAGTCCAGTGGAAAAATATCCCAATTTAATGTGCTGCGGTTACTGTAAACTACCAAGGCTATGTGTATCTGTGCAACCAATTTAAAAATCCATGGAGACAACTGTAAGTAGGCATTTAGCTTTTTCTTAAAATCAACATCTTCAGCTCATTAGAAACATGTTGAAGGGCCACTGAGTTCAGTGTTAATGCCAGATATGCTATGTATCTCTGCATTCAGCAGACAGCATGAGCAGAACTAGATCCTGAGCTGATGAGAATTGGCATGAGTCTGTTGACTTATAAACAAGCACCATTAAAGTCAATTGAGCCATGCCAATTTTCCTCATTCAAGACAAACAGAGGTTGTATTTGTCCTGAAATAACCATTTTATCCTGGGACAAAGTGTAATCATTCAGGCGTTCATGTCCAGTGTCCTGGGATAAATTCTAAAAAGGGTTACCAGGATAAGAAGCATTAATAGTTTATCCTGGGACATTCCACAGTATTGAACAGTTACCCTGGGATTGAACCAGTGGCAGAGAAGCAGCAGTGCATTCAGCTGCTCATTAATTCCTGATTAGCAGGGTGATGTGTGTACACACCAGTCCTAGGATATTTCTGTTCTGTAATAAACACAGGCACAATTTGTCCAGGGACAAATGCAATGCCTGTTTCTAGCCCAGCTCTTTTAGGAAAGGGCTGGTTTATGCTACAAAGCTTCTCTGTGGTGGTAGAAACCTTTTTTGTCAGTGCTTACACCACCTCTGCTGAGCAGAGAAAAGCTTCTGTTGGCAGAATGTGCACATAGACACTCCTGTGACTTATGCTAGAAGGTGATGTGTTTCTAGGGTGTACTTTGCACTGTGGTGGCACAGCTGCTGTAGTGGAGCCATGAAACAGCCAGAATGCATGGATAGGTCCATGGCTTGATAACTTTATGGTAACAGCTACTGTCTGCCCATAGAAGTTCCAGCAGCAGAGGCAGATGTGTGTAGACAAGGCCTAACTAACTGAAATGCTTCTTGAATAGAAACTAATTTAAACACATTTAAAAAAAAAAGATTTTGAGAGACTTCTATTGTGAGCCATTCTACACTTACTCCCACAAATATCCCCCCCTGTCCCCTCCCCATGCCTTTATTTTGAGCATGACTGATTTACTATTTTTTCAATATTGTTTATATTTTGAACATTGTTTTCACATCTCCATTGACAGACAAATTCAGGGGACCTGAAATGGGAGACTGAGTCTCTCTGGTCTAGGTTAGTTATTTTAACACAACATAGGGACACTAGGAAAGGCCATTCACCAGCTTTCATTGGCATGTTTAAAAGAAGCTGGCGTTTCCGATCAAGAGGGAAAAGTGATCATTCTGCAGTTAAGACTGAAACTCAAAATGTCTGGGCTTAAAGCTGCAAAACTTGGGCAAGCCACTGATCCCCTATACTTCTCTTACCTACAGGTTAACAGGGGTGATTCTCCCTATTTCAAGCCAGTGTTGAGAGGTACTCAGGTACTGTGGTGGTAGAGTCTGGATAAACAGAAGTTTATTCACATTGTAGGAGGTTGATGGCGTGCCACCTGGAACTGAGTTGTCTCCCTATAAATGGTACTGTTTTGCCTTTCAAAAAAATCACCTGTCACACCTTTGATGTTATGGGAGATGGATGTTGAAACACTCTTGGGGAAACAAAAATGTTAGGGGCTCACAGAATCGGCTGGGTTTCGCTGGGCTCCACTATCCCCATCCCCTGCCGTAACCACTGCAGATGTTCCAGGAGCATTGGTACTGGCCTCTGATGTTGATACTCTGGTCTCAGTCTTAGGGATTACTGATAGGAATCTCTCTTCTCCTTCAGCTGCTTGCCCCGTTCTTCCCTGCATGGGTCCCAAGTCAGCCACCCTTGCTTCTAGTACCACCCTTACCTTCATGGTCAGGACAGACTCACTCCCTCTTGGAGAGTAAACTTGTCCATGTCTTCGCTTTGTTCAAGGTTCTCATAGTGGTTAACTTCACCCCCCCAGGATGGGACTCACTGGCCGAGCAGTTTCCTCCATTCCTGTGCCACCTCTCCCTTGCAGAGCAGCCTCCTTGCTGGATCTGTCCAGGTAAGTCAAGGAACTGGGGTTTTTCTTTGAGCTCTGGGGTCGGTCCTCTATTCCTGTGTTCTCTTCTACATTCTTTCTCTTCTCCTCTTCTCTCCTCTCCTGCCGCCTGCTGAATGCCCTCTTGGCATCCCTTAAATTTCCCTCTTGCCCAGCTGGGTCTGCCATGGTAGCTTCCCCTTTGCTGCCTGCCTGACCCAGCTGTTTCCTCCCCACTCCTTTGGTGTGGTTTTTCTTTCTCCTTTTGACTGCACCTTTCTCCTTCTCCTGGGCTCAAGCCCCAGCAGTTGGATTTGACACTGCATCCTTTGATCTGCTGTGGCCCCAGCTGGTTTCTTTAATTGCTCAGAGTGTGGCATTTCTCTTTCCCAGGCTCACCATGGTTTTTCTTGCCTCTCCAGGTAAGTTTTTTTTTTTTTTCATTTTTCTCTATCATTTCTGTGACAGGGTGTTTCAGTCACCCTGTCACACACATCAAAATATAATAATATAGGGACAGGCGGTGGTAAGGGGGACTTATGGTACTTGCAAATGTGGGGAATCATTTTGTCTGAAAAGACAGGGGAAAAATAAATAAAAAAAGGAAGCTGACACATGTTGCTGTCTCATTTCAAAGTGACATTTTCATTTTGAAAACTGCAAAAAAATTATATTAAAAGGGTTTAAAAACCACAAATGAAACACCTAACTTTAGAGAAACCATTTTTTGCTTCTGGTTGACAATATTTTTCCCAATTTTTCATTTCAGGCAGTGACCCCCCCGCAAATAAAATAAAAATCTCTCTGATTGTCCCTGTGATGGACGCTGGTTTTGCGGGCAGGAGCTGGCCACTGTCTATGGAATAGGCACCGGTTGCAGGGAGATGTGGGGAGTCATGTTGTCACCACCCTGTTATCCCAGTCTCGGTCTCACCCGCTTGCCCATCCCATTCCCAGATGTCACTCCCTGCTTGCCTGCAACTCTATCCCACCTGCCCAGATGAGCACACCCTGCCTGTGGGGGTCCCACCAGTTTCTATGGTGACCCAGCCTGCCTGCCCACTTGCCCACTCCATCCAGAGTCCCTGGTGATTGGTGCAGGAGGGATGGGCCAGGGTGCCCAGGCAGCGGGGCCAGGTCTAGCAGTGGCACTGGAGACACTGGTAGGGGCAGCCAGAGTGTGGGGCAAGAGCAAGTTGCTACTGTGGGGGCTGCTGGGAAACTGAGTCTGGCCACCATGCTGACCCACTCCTGCCACCCCACCACCCAGTGTCACAGACTACAGCTTCTGGCATGCTAGAGAGCTGCGTGTGTAGATACGATAGGCTGTGCTCTGTGCCAGGTAGTGCCTCTGTGCCTGGGGGCAGTGGGCCTGGCTGCATGTGCCACAGCCTCGTCTGCTTCTTGAGCCCAGGCCAGGCAGGGCTGAGGGACCTGCCACGGGCCAGACAGAGTCACCTGTCAGGTTGAATTTGGCTTATGGGCTGTATTTTGCCTGCCCCTCCTTTACAGCCTTAATAAAGTTCTAAAACAGGTGTGTATGTAATAGTGCCTTACAAAAATGACATATAACAATCTGGGTAGGCCTGTTATCTGTAATTTAATATTCTTTTGCTATTATTAATATTTCTTGGCAAAACATTTCAGTTACTAGACAACAATGTGAGGTGGTGATACTACAAAAAGTAACACATTGCTAAAAAATAAACAGCATCTTAGAATCAAGAGTACACTCTCTTGCCTTTCTCTATGATTACTACAGAAAATATTTCATAGATTTCATAGACATTAGGGCTGGAAGGGACCTCGGAAGATCATCGAGTCCAGCCCCCCGCCCAAAGGGCAGGAAGTCAGCTGGGGTCATAGGATCCCAGCAAGATAAGCATCCAGTTTGCTCTTGAAGGTGTTCAATGTAGGCGCTTGAAACACCTCTGGTGGCAGGCTGTTCCAGACCTTGGGGGCTTGGACAGTAAGGAAATTCTTCCTTATGTCCAGCCTGAAACGGTCTTGTAGTAGTTTATGACCATTCGACCTAGTCGTCATCCCTTGGGGCGCTCTGGTGAACAAACGTTCCCCCAGATACTGGTGGTCACCCCTGATAAACTTATAGGTGGCCATCAGATCACCCCTGAGCCTGTGCTTTTCCAGGCTAAAGAGCCCCAGGGCTCTCAGCCTGTCATCGTAGGGTCTGCTTCCTTGACCTCTGATCATGCGCGTGGCTCTTCTCTGGACTCTCTCAAGCTTCTCCACATCCTTTGTGGAGCCCAAAACTGGACGCAGTACTCCAGCTGCGGCCTCACTAAGGCCGAGTACAAGGGGAGAATGACATCCCGGGATTTGCTTGAGAAGTATCTATGGATGCAAGCCAGCGTTTTGG